TGTGATGGCGTTAATTGAATCCCATGGTGATTATACTCTGTATTAGTGATCAGGATTAATCATATATTTTTAAATAATAAAAGAATTTTTTTGCTTTATTATATTGTGTGACGAGAAAATAGGGGTCAGTTACTTATGAAATTGACTGTACATACTAATTTCTTTAATTACAACAATTTCAGAATAGTAGTAACGAGTACGTATTCAGTTGGTAGTGTCTGGATAACAGATAAATTCGATGAAGTCTTTAAGTTCCCACGCAGTTGATCTGTTTTCTGGAATAGGAACCCAGCATTTTTCAATAATAAATTTGCACAACCCAGGAACATTATTTGGTATCTTAGGTCGTACCGGTACTCCATTATAGATATCGCATACAGGTGTATATCATGATTTCGTTCACCAAATGGTCGTGTTATAATCGTACATACCATCCAAAACTATAAATATCTGCAGCTTTAGTGTATGGCTTTCCATTTAGTACCTCTGGACTCATATAAGGAAGTACTCCACAAATTTTTTAATCTGATTTTTCTATATCTGTTGGTTTGGGAAGTCCAAATTCAGCAATTTGAACAATAACAATATATTTTCAGGGTGAAAGTCACGATGCACAAATTCCTCTTCATGATTTACGTAGATCGCCATCTTTTGCATAAGACATGACGTATCAAGTATTCATTTGTAGCTGGGGGTTTTAGTTATTAATACCACGAGTGCACTTTAAAGCAGTCTGAATCTAATTTTAAAAAAGTTAATTATATTGAATCATGTAATGATTTCAACGATTCAGCTATCATCACGTCGTACAAATTTATTTTATACATGATCCAGATCAAAAGGGATCCATTCAAAAGATTTTTATTTTCATGCATTCTTTTATTAAACTGTCGATATATTTACCCCCCCCCGGCTAAACCACTCAGCTTTATAAATTCGTTTGTGCTTTTACTACAATGTGAACTGAATACTCATCGCAGTAATTCAATCTTTGACAATCGAAACATTTACATTCATGAATATTATGGATCGAACATATACTGCAGTAACCCCATCGTTGACAATCGAAACATTTACTACAATCATGGGTATTCGGAGTTTTAGATTCCATCTTTAAGTTTATTTATTAGTAATTATGGTATGGTAGTGTTTTATTTAAAAAACGATGAGTTATATAGTAGAAATCGTTATTCACCCCTGCAACGCTAAATCGATTATACATGAAAAATGACACATTGCGCCCGCAACATGCATCAAGCATTATTTTGACTTCCATTTGTGTGCTAAGAAGAGTACGTAACATCGATTTTATGCATGAAAAATGAGAAAAAGAGACAAAAACAAGAAAAAGAAAAATATAAGAAACAGGAAGACAATTTTATATATAACTTGTATCTCAGTCTTAGCTCTACCCTAATTCTAAACCAACCTTCTAATATTGATCAATATTCCAATAAAATATTCAAGTTAACCTATAATTCTGAACTGTAACAGTGCCAGATTCATAATTGGCTCCGATTTCTTATCTCGTGCATGTTAATATAGATATGTTTAAAAGCTGCTTTCAGAAAAGCCATTTGTGTTTGGATCTCTTCATTGTGAACAATAATATTTTTGACTTTGAACGATCATTATAATTAAAATTACTTTATACAAATATAATAAAAAACAAATAATTTATTACACAAAATATGCTTTGAATAAAAATCTGGATTATTTAGTTACATAGCTTTTAATATCTTAAAAAATCGAAACTCTAGTAATTCAACAAGTATTTTTGATACGTACGTATTATTCCTTTGATCTGGACGTTGAGGGCTCAATCTCTTTGTAAGGCATTTAATTCAACATATCGTAATACTTTAACATTATTTTTTTTTTTAGATATTTACACATGGATAAAAATTATTAAACTTCGTTAAAATTGTTAATTTTTGATCATATCACTGTCAATTTTAAATTAAATCATAACAGACTACTAAGGTATATTTACTTCTTTATAATTTGGATAAATCACGAGAACTAATGATTTAAATAAAGAAGAAATTGACATAAGATAATTTTAAAAGGCAAAAATAAGTCATCAACAGCAGCAATCACTACCACCGATCAACTAAACCAGACAAGGGTGTAAATAATAATATCAATATATCTGCTTTTGTTTTTTAATTACATGTATGTATTAGTTAGTGAATTTATTAGTGAATTACAAGATTCAAAAACATAGTCTTGCAATAATAAACAAAACCTAGAGTGATCAATATAGCGACAGGAAAACAATCAACGTCATTAATGAAAACCTAACATTAACCCATTTCACAAACTGACGTAATTTCTCGTCAAACGATCGGATAAATCTGCTCGCATTACCAGATGAGAAAAATTCAAAATAATAACGATAACCTTAACGTTAACGTTAAGGTTAAAAAAGGTCTGAGTGGGAAAGTGCCTCGTGCTTGATGTTCTGTTATCTGAAACAAACAACTGCAAAAAAGGATAATACATGTAATAATGTTTATACATGTGCATGTACGTACACGTACATGTAATTCTTATCGTTATCATTGCACTGCTTACCAAAAAGCATCGGAGAAGTTTTAAATTTAATACATGTAATGTATTTACTAGCGATGCATGCTTCTCTTCTACGGAGCAAACTTTCATTCTTTAGTCAGGAGACAGGATATCAATGAGTTTATTGATCAAGATTTGAACACAATATTTCAACGAGAGTGCAAAGATTTTATTAGTGACTTAAGGACATATGTACATATTTTTAAATTAATCTAAAGTGTAACGGTAATAACTAATTATATGTTCAAGATTCTTAATTTATCAAATTATTGAAATAATTTCAAGGCAATCAAAAATCAACCTTTTTTTTGAGCCCAATATTTATACCATATCATATACACAGCATGCGTATTGAGCTCTTTAATGAAACCTTCTACAAATTCTTCATACTCTTTAGCGTTCAGTTTGAACAGTCCTCTTATCATTTTTGATTCTTCGCGTAGTAAACGGATGCATAGGTCTGCCTGGATTTCACCTTAATAGCAATAGAAACATTGAATAATCGTAAAAAATTCAAGCCTTTTCGGGTTGATCTTATAACAATATTTACCTATTTTGCCACCAAATCTTCCTATATTAATCTTAATTTGTTGATCGCGCACACGTTTCAGAGATTTGTCATATTTATATAGGATACTTGGCATTTTAAGCGTGATAGATGGATCCATTTTGTTTGTGATGAGTTTTGTTCTTACTGTTTGTATTATTAATTATATCATTATTTGATTAAAATTGAATAAATCAGCTTTCACAGTACTCACAAGCATCAGAAAATCGCGTAACGTATGGACCTCCATTATGCATTTTCACATCGAATTCTGAAATCTAAAAATAAAAAACAAAATGTAGGCATTAAAATATATGGTTCTATTAGTTCGCTCAAACTATACATGAAAATTTGAAAATACATTGGATTCTCTTGCTCATTAAAAAAACACTCGTTCTTAAGACCAAATAAAAACTAACCTCAATAAATGCATTCGGCCGTAACATTCGAATAGCCTCCTTAAGTACCACATTTTCATACTGATCGGGCTTGAACGCGAATACCAGCGACCGTATGTATACAAAATCAAAGTTTGCATCTTTAAATGGTAGCCTTTCAAGTAAATTTGCTTTTATGAATTGTGCATTCACAGGTTTTTGGGTCGGGAAAATATTATGATAATCTATTCCATGAAATATTGAAGCTCTATAGTCCGTTGCCATTTCGCAGACCCACATCCCTGGTCCGCATCTATCAAAATTAATTAATTCAAAAACTTACATCTCAAAACATCATAATCGAAAATATATTAATCTTTACCCAAGATCTAATACAGAAGCACCTTGTTTTAGAGTATCTGTGATCGGCGCTGAAAAATTACTTCTTAGAACTTCTCTATAAATGTGATGTTGAACTTGAAAACGATCAACTAAAGAAAACAATTGTTACGGAAATTGATTAATTGCATTCTCTTGCTTTGAAGTTTAAATTTTTAGTACTATACCTCTTCCTTCATTCATTTGCATAATATATTGATACCTTTCACTAAGAGTTGCTTTTTGAAAGTTATAACATGATGTTGGAGTACTTGTGCTTGTGCTTGTCGATGGTGTATTTCCCATTCTTAGCGAGGTAATATATTTTGGTAATTTATATTTAATAAAACTAATAACTTATTGTTATAGGAGAAAAAAATCACGATATTTTTAGACTCAACTTTTTCTTTTTAATATTTGAGACATCCGTGCGTAATTAAAAGCACGAATTTTAAGAGCTGTTAAAACCTGCCAATGACATGTTTTTTTAATTATTTTTACACCAATCAAACTAAAAAAATTATAAAACATCATATTTCAAGTTCATACGATTACACAACATACCGATACGTACATGTACACAACATGGTGTTTTCATAGCATTAATTGGTCTGCCGTGCAATTACACGACGACGATAAATACATGTAAAATTCTTTAATGCATAGCTAGATTTCCTTTTTTATGTTTAATAAAGAGCTAATACAAAAAATCACGTTTTGTGTTTGTAACCATAGATGGACAAATTTTGGCTTGGATGCTTTAGGTTCAGTGTACAACTAAAACTTTTTAAAAAAGTATCCCGAGAATCGTTAATTGGTTCATACCTTGTACATGGTGTTTAATTAATTTTGTTTGTGAAAATTACTGGAGTACGACTAAGGTAAGGTACTGGGAAATAATATTCACTACCACCGATGAGCTCTAGCAATCTCTATTGAAATTTATCACCAGAATACCGTACATGTATTAAAGTACAGCGTCTGTACGGTATAATCGGTGTAAGAAAACTTTTTGTTATAATTATAAAGAACTAAGTCATTTTATAATCTGATAGCATATAAAATGTTTGGTATTTAATTAATTTTCAAACCAAAATTTTATTTTGGAAAACATAAAAAATTTCTTCGGAGCCAAAACATCCAACGTGAGTGCATGTATTTAATATTGATATGCAATAAATATAACTTGCGCGCTAACTGAATTCGAAAATGTTCTAGAACATCACAAACAAACACTGCATTCAAAATACATGTACATGTAGCGGTAGCGGTAGCGATAGTGTATTTAATCAAAACTTGCTTTTTCGTATTAATATAGCAACAATACATAATGTAAGGTGAGTAATAAATTTTACTGAGATAACTAACGAGGATAATTAAATATCTATACATGTAATTTGTAGTTAGACTACGTACGTATGTAATTACATTTTTGACAATCATGGCATTTACTACAAGTACGTACGTATATACATGTACTAATAATACAATGTATATTTGTAAATAACGATAATAAAAAGCAACTTTTTAATACATTAGACGCATGTTGTAAGCGTAATGTGACATTATGGGAAATTTTTACGCGTAATCTGAGTAACGCTAACATAAATGTTGTAAGCGTAATAAAGTTATAGGTAAAAAAAAAGGGGGTTCCGGATTTACCCATATTTGATTTGTTAAACCTTTGGATAAGCTTCCACAATTTTTCAATAGTTTTACAAGAGTTGGCTTTAGTTGTGTCAAAATCCAGGGGAACTCTAATAGCTACAAAAACTATGAAAGTTTATCTAATGGTTTAACAGAATCCGACTGTGTAAAACATAAGTAAAACTTTTTTTCTACCTGTATCTTTTACAGCACTCGACATAAATAACGACAATCATATTTTATTAATTACTCGATAAAATATATCAGAAAAAGTTAAAGATTTACAGATATATATCTTCTAGAATATGATAAATAAAGTTACTCAATAGACTTCATTATTATCAATTAATTAAAATAAGGTTGTAAAAATTTAAATTAATTAAAATAAGGGTTGTAAAAATTTAAATTAATTAAAATAAGGGTTGTAAAAATTTAAATTGTAATTTAAAAGAATTTTCTTAAGCTATTATTAAAAAAAGTCTTAAGTAAACTTGTTCAACTTTCAATAAAGAACATACATCTCAGTTTTACATAATTTTTCTTGAAATAGTTAAGATAATAATTTTGATTAATCTGATTTTGTTCATTTAAACTAACATTTTCATCCATTGTATTATAAAAATTTTTCTCATAGTATGACAAACACTTTGATCTGGCCCTTTAGGATTAATTATATTTCACGAATAAGATGTTATATAAATAAATATCTAGTAAGAATAATTTAATGTATAATAAAAGCAAATAATAAAAGTGAATAATAATAAAGATGAATATATCATGTCAAGGTAACTAATCTAAATCATAATATGGATTATTAGCTAATAAATACTAACTATATATAATAAATATTAATGTTGTTACGAGTAAAAATGGATCTCAAAACTATTCTGAAGAAATATAAACTAGTTTTTAAACTATATCATCAGTTTTATAACTCATTTTTAGTTAGAAGTGAAATTTTTGAATGTATAATATGAATATAATCAATCATATTAATAATAAAAGTAAATATTTGTTATATTAAGAAAGTTACTCTCAATTATAATATGAACTATTAATTAATAAGAATTAAAAGTATATAGGAAATTTAATATAATAATAAAAGAAATTTTAATAATATTTTTGCAAAATATATATTGACTTTAATAATATCTTAATAGAGTATTTATTAACAAAATATATTTAGATTATTTTATTTTATTTACTAAATAAAAAGATACAAAAATCAAAATATTAATAATATTATTAAAATAAAAAAAATATATTTTCAAAAGTAATTTTGCTAAAATTATTATATTAATCAAGTTATTAGTTAAACTAATTAGTATAACTTGGTTTTTATAATTAAAAACTTTGTTATACAAAATAATAATAATATAAATTATAAAAATTATTATGAAATTATAAAATTATAAAAATTATAAAAATTATAAAAATTTTCAATTATAATAATATTATTATTTAATTTCTTGCTTTAGTAAAAAAATATCAGTAATTAAATTATATATTTGTAATAATTTTTGCTTTTATATAATATATATTAAATATTAACTTTATTTAGAAGTTTAAAATAATATTATTATAAATATAAGTTATTTATTCGAATATTCTAATTTTTAATATTAAATTATTCTTATATAAGTTATATTATTAATATTAAATATAAATATTAAATTAAATAATCAGATCATATAATTAAAAATTCAAATTAAAACAAATATTTCTTGCAAATTTGATTTAAATTAATCTTATTTTTGTTTTATTTCAAATTTTAATTCAAATTAATAAATTTTTTATTTTTTATAATATTCACTATACTAATATAATTTATAATTTATATTATTTTTATTAGAATAATAATATATATAATTAATAAGAACAATAAGAATTATTTTATATAAAAAGTGAAAAAGTGAAATAAAAATAAAATAAAAAGTAAAAAATAAAATAACTTTAAGAAATTTTTGCTATTATATAAATATATTTGAATATTTTATATATTTAATTATTTTTTGAATTAATATTTTTATATTACTATTAGAATAATACTTATTTCAAATTATTAATCAACAATTTAATAATTTTTAATAATAGTATTTTAATAAATTTAATATAATTTAGAATTATTTATATATAAGCTTTGAAATTTATAATTAAAAATAAAAAAAGCTAAATATTATTTGCTAAAAGATTTTTATTTTATTATATTAATTTTTTAATATATTAAATCAAAATTCAAATAATATTTTTATTTATATATTTATAAATATAAAAGTATAAAAATAAATATTATTTGATAAAAGATTTTTATTTTATTATATTAATTTTTAGAGAATTATAATTTATCGCATATGCGATATGTGCTATGTCCCCCATTTACTAAGAGGGTAGGGTTAGGGTTATGGGCCCAAAAAAGTTTAAGGTTATATTTTTGGTCCCCGTTACTATTAAATTTGGGGTCCTGCGATACATCGCTATGGCGATAAATTACAAAATCCTAATTTTTAATATATAAAATCAAAGTTCAAATAATATTTTTATTTATATATTTATAAATATAAAATTTGATAATAATAATTATTTAAAGGATAAATTAATTTATTAATTCAGATAATATTTTTATTTATATATTTATAAATATAATAATAATTATTTAAAAAATATAATAATTTATTAAAAAGAATAAAAGATAAATATTTAAATAAAAAAGATAAAAGAATAAATAATATTATTTTGCATAAAATTTTTTTAATTTTATAATTTTTAAATTAGTATAAATTATAATATATTATAATTTACTTCAATAATAATTATATTAATTTTTGCTTTTATTTTTACTTTATATATTATTATATTATTATATTTAGTATAAATTTTGTAAATATTATTCAAAAATTAAAATAATAATTAATAAATCACATTATTATATACTTTTTACTTTATTTTTACTTTTATTTTTATTTTTATTTTTATTTTTCTTGTATTTTTTACTCAAAAATTAATAATTTTGCTATTAATATATTTTATATTTATTTTTTATAAAATATTCTTAATACTTAATTTATTATATTTATATTTATTTTATTTTTTGTTTTTATTATTATTATTATTATTTTTATTTTCTTTGTTAATTTTTATTATCATATATAATTATTTTATTTATTTTTGATCTTTATTTTTTTTAGTATTATTTAAGAATAAGTACTAAATGATATTATTTAATTAAATAATTTGCCAAAATTAACTTGACAAAATTAAATTCAAAATTATTTTGACTTATTTTATTAGTAGTCAAAATTATTTTCTGAAATTATTTGAATTCTACAAATCAAAAAAGTATTTTTAGATGACTTTTAAGTATTTATTAATATAAGCAATATAGCAAAATTGAATTATTTGCTGAAATACCATTTTTTTCAAAAATAATTTAGAAACTATCTTTAGTATTATTTAATATTTTTATAAATAATAATATAATTTAATATAAATATTAGTTATATAAATTATAAAAATTATTAAAAGTATATAAAAAATTTCTTATTGTTAAAAACTCATATTTTGATTTAATAAACTAACAAAATTTTTACTTATAATAAATATTTATAAATATATTATTATTTTATAATTATTTTCAAATCTTAAATACAATATTTTTTCAC